TCACACGTAGCTCAGACGAAGCTAGTGCCGACCCTAAGGAAGTCTCGTGCGGAAGCTCGCTCTACCACCGTCCAAGGACCCCAGGTACCGGTCAGGACAACACAACACTATCTGCCCGGACCACCTCGATCGTCTCCCAAGCCTGCTGCCCCTACGTTTCATTGGCAGGGCACTCCCAGCCGCCAGCAGTCAGCAGCTCCCCCTGACCCAAAGACTAGCTAGTGTTTCAACTACAAGAGGATTAGTCACTTTGCGAAGGACTGCCCTTCGGTTATACACTTGGATATTACCAACATGGAGAGTGCATTAGAGATAGAAGAGATTGCAACCTACCCTCAAGGCCACGTGGAAGAGGAAGAGGTAGAAGACGATGAAGACAACGCAAGTCAGCTTATGCCGGGAAATGGCGCAGCCTAAGGGAAGTCTCCTTCTTAGGCCGCTTTGTCGATTGCTCAAAGCTAGACTTACGAGCAATGATGGGTGGAACACACTTTTCGTACCCATGTACTATCAGTTTTAATGCAATTAGTACTACCGTTCACCCTCTCATCGACACTAGAGCAAATGGCTTTGCCTTCATTACTTCTGCCCTTGCCCGCGACTTTGCGAACTTCACTAGTGCTAAGTTTCAGCGCTTACGCTCTCCTATCCCTGTTTTAGGCTTTAATAGCAGACCTGGACAAGCTATCTCTCATTGCCTACGCCTCCACCTCACGGTAGACGGAAGGAAGCAGCTCTCAGTCCCTTTTTTGGTTACAAAGCTCGGCTCCTATGACATTATTCTAGGCCGCACCTGGCTAGAGATGTATCAAGTCAAGCTAGACGTAGCTAAGCGCCAACTCCTTTGGCCAAAGGACTACACGCCTTTAGACGTACGATCTACTTTGCCCGACAAGCACGTGCCTCGCTACTATATGAGAAAGCTCCCGGTTGGACTTAGAAGCCAGGACTAGTTGGATACCGACTGTTATGACTTAGTAGTAGAGATCCAGGATCAACAACGAAGAAGTGGTGCTCAACATAGCTATGCCTAGCTAAATATCAACAGTTTAAGCCCACCTTCACCGTCCCCGCCGCCACAAGAGCCTAGTGCTACGCCACCAAAAGTGCCAAGCCTCCTACCTATACCAAAAGAGGAGCTTATGTCAAAAAAGCCACTACTAGCTCGTCCGCCCCCACCTATATCGGCAAAACCGCAAAGTTATGTGCCCCGACTACTTGGGAAGCGTACCCAGTCCCTAGATAACCGAAACAATATGCATAAGATGGATAATGCCTTGTCTAGAAAGCTGAGTCAAAAGCCAACTCCACCGCAGCCTCCTCCAAAGCTATCAGACTACATACCAATACCAAAAGCTATGGACCTCTGTTTAATTACGCCAGAAGCGTTCCACCTCAACCTTCGCCAGCCAAATACTAAGCTCTTTACCACTAGCTTATACGAGCTAGATCGGTTGATTGAGGATAAGCGTCATTAAGAAGCACGGCCAGGAGTAGAGATCAAGGAAGTCGAGCCGTCTATCCCAGCAACATACCAAGCATTCGCTCGAGCTTTCTCTAAAGACGATTCCAACACACTGCCTCCCTCTCGCTCGTACGACCATAAGATCGCCCTTGAGAAGGACGAAGCGAAGCTTCAGTTCACGCCTCTTTACAAGATGAGCGCTAAAGAGCTAGCAGTCACTAAGCAGTACTTGATAGACAACTTGTTTAAGGGCTTCATTGAACCTAGTCAGGCCCCATTCGCGGCACCCGTCCTCTTTGTGAAGAAATCTAGCGGAGCCTTACGATTTTGCATCGATTTCCGGAAGCTAAATGCTATTACGCGCAAAGACCGGTATCCATTGCCATTAATCGACGAGACTCTCGCCCGAATCGCCTCTGCGAAGATCTACACGAAGCTAGACATACGCCAAGCCTTCCACCGAATCCGAATGCACCCTGATTCGGAAGAACTGACTACCTTTCGTACTCGCTATGGAGCGTATAAGTGCAAAGTCTTGCCTTTCGGACTTACTAATGGGCCTGCTACGTATCAACGATATATGAACGATATATTGTTTGATTACTTAGACGATTTTTGTACTGCTTACCTCGATGATATCCTTATTTACTCCGATAATCCCCTCGAGCACGAAGAGCACGTGAGAAAAGTGCTGCAACGACTTCAAGACGCCGGCTTGCAAGCTGACCTCAAGAAGTGCGAATTCAACGTGACTCGTACGAAGTATTTGGGTTTCATTATTAGTATAGAAGGCATATCTGTAGACCCAGAGAAGACGAGAGTGATAGAGGAATGGAAGCGCCCTAGTACGGTTAAAGGCGTATAGTCATTCTTAGGCTTCTGCAACTTCTACCGCCGATTTATTAGGGAATATGGAAGGATTGCAGCTCCCTTGACTTAGCTTACGAAAGCGAACGTCCCCTTCCACTTTAATAGCGATTGCGAGACTACTTTTAAGAAGCTTAAGCTACAGCTTATTACAGCACCAATTCTACAACACTACGACCCCGCGCTCGAGTGTATGATAGAAACGGACGCCTCCGATAGTGTAGTTGCAGGAATCCTCAACCAGAAGCATAGAGAGCAGTGGCTACCTGTGGCCTATTTCTCTAAGACTATGGCCCTTGCTAAGTTGAATTACGAGATCCATAACAAGGAGATGCTGGCTATTGTGAAGACTATAAAGGAATGGAGAGCTAAACTAGCCTCCACCCCTACAC